GTTCTTGAGGTCCTCGTTGATGAGCTGGACAGAGAGCAAGTCCTCAAAGTCGTAAATTGCACCATGTTTGATGTTCGTGCTGAAGTGCTTGTGAATCATCAAAAGAATTTGGCGCCCCCTCGCGTAGCGTTTCTCCTTTGCTTCTTGCTCTTTGAAAATATCGACTTGCCGCGCGAGGTCGCCCTCCAAGATGTTCGTCAACGCCGATGCCAGCTTTGCGTCAAGATGGACAAACATTCCTGAATCACGAAGGACTTCAACAGTTTGACCTGGGATCCAAGTTGCTTCAATCCACTCAAATGCCTTTTCGGGTTGGTCGGAAGTAGCAACAACAGCATCCCTAACTTTGATCCTCCAATTACGGTACTGTTCGGGCTTCGGGAATCGGGGAATCTGAATTCTGTCACCTTCCTTTACACGAACGCGTTCCGCTGTCGGATCGCTCGAATTACCTAAGTGCTTCAGTAGCTTTCGTCGAAAGGATTCATCCGATGCAGTCGAAGTTGATGACGAAGATGACGAGGGAGAAGATGATGGATCTCGTCGCCGACGTCGGCTACGGTCCTTCTTCTTTTTCTTCTTCTTCTTCTTCTTTTTCTTGTCCTTGTCATTTCCACCATCAGCATCATCGCAAGGCCAACCGTCTCCGGTAGCAGCATCGTCCACGGCCCCGGCGGGAACGGATCCGTCTTTGCCGTAGGGGTCGCTCCCGTTCGTCCAACTGTGCGAGGAAGCATTCGAAAGTCCGGGTGGAGATGCAGCCAAAGGAACGGTCGGGATAGCCAAGGGGGTAGCTGGTGCCTGCTGAACGGGAGGCGCAGGGGCTGGAGCAGGTTGAGCAGGCGGTTGCTGTTGATTTTGCATCATCTGCTCGACCATGGCCCTTAGCTCCCTGATCTGCTTCTCCTGCTCGCTGATCGTGTTCATGGCGTTTTGGTACTTCATCTCGGCTTCTCTTTCCGATTTCATGGTGTTCACACGCTGCTCCGCATTCATTTGAATCTCGCGTCTCATGGCCTCCGATTGGCTTAGAAGTCCGGCAATAATCTCACCATGCCTTGCCTCCGCCATCTGGGCGACCATGGGACCAGTGTCCTGATTCACGAACTGGTTGAATTGGGCATTGTTCTGGGTAGCGTTGATCTGCTGATAGTTCGTCACGTCCTGGTTGATCGTCATTGAAGGATCGAGGTGGACGTTTGCAACATGTTGGTTGAACTGATTCATGGACTGTGGCATAGGGTTTCCCCTATATTGGTCTGGGGGTCGTACATGACGATGTCACCATGCCGACGCCGATCCGATCCAACAGGTGAAGGAGATCAAGCACCAGCCCGCCCAGTCCTCCCACGGTCACTCCGAGATCGAAGTGATTCGGGGCCCTGACTGCTCAGTGCCTGTCCCTTCCTGATGAGCTCCCTGGCCACTTGGGAGTTTGCTCGACTAGTCGGTTCATATTGCGAGGCGTCTTCATCGCCTGCAGGCTCATCAGGTGTGGGACGCACCTCGGTATGGGGTAGTCCAGGGTCGCCATCCATGGCGTACAACTCTGTACAAAGAGCCGCTTACGGCTGATAACCTATAGAACAGGTTAAACAACCGGGAAGGGTCACCAATGAACCCTGTCCACAGCGCGCTTTTTACTTGAGCCATACGCAGTCGTAATGATGAGACTGCGCAAGTGAGACATTCATGCATTGGGGTTTTTACATGGTTGATAAATACATCACGTTGCAAACTACAAAAACAAATGCCCTGCTGAGTTCTACTGGAGTCGCAAAGCTGGCCAGCATATCCTCCGTATTGCTGAGGAGTGGAATGCTCGTCCATCAGGCGCCTGTGTTTTCTCTGCTTGCCCGCTATATTGCATACATCAATGTGCCTTCTTTAATCCTCGAACAAGATTGCCAAACCTATTTCGCGTTGACCTATGATCGTGGCATGCGCATCTGTGATGAAGGCATACTGCCTGCATGCCTCCAGTCCTTTATTCCAGTTCCTGCGCACTGCGCGTTCCAAATCGTACGCGCGCCGACAACAAGATGGCAAGCACAGACGCTTGGACGAACAGCCCGTTTAAGGCTATTTTTCAGTCATCCAAATGCAAAGTGGACCGGCCTGGTGGGACATGAAACCTTGGCAGGTCCTGCGCAGGATCTGTTTTCGCTACGCAGGACCAGCGCAAGATATCTGCGGAGGGTCTTTGCAGCATCTCTGGCTAGGATCTCCTTGTCGGAGACCCTCTACACGTGTTCTGTTCAAGATACGTAGGGAGCACCCTCTACAACGCAGGTCCCGCGCAAACAGGATCTCCGCGGGCGCAAGATGCTCTTGGTAGGGTCTCCCGGCCAGGACTCTCTGCGAGTAGGCAAGACCTCTTGAAAGGGAATCTTTTGCAAGTCCTGCGCGACCTTTTGTGAAGATGGACCAGTGCAAGGTATTTTTGGGTTGGATCCGTTATGCACAGTTTCTCTGTTCAAGAGCTCGTTAAAGGATCGCCCTGAAGGACAGCCGCAGGACATCATTGGCGCAAGATCTTTTGGTAGGGTCCCTTGGCAAGATCTGCGCGCAGAATTTCTGGATAGGATCTCTTGGCGGAAGGATTCATGGGAGTGTCCTCTTTTTATTCAAGTTCTCAGGACCAACAAGGTCTTTTGCAAGGATACCTTCAGGCCCTTCTCTTCAATGACCCGCGCAAGATCTGCAGAGGTCTCACTCTCGATGCTCAAAATTCGCGCCGCGCCACGAGGGCTCAGATGGGGTGTTCAAAACTCGCACTGCGTATTTTCGAAGTTTGCGGAGCACACCCTCGAAGGACACCAAACTCGCCCAGGCAGTGCGCGTGAAGCCTGCGCAGTTGAAACACACATGAACATCTCACAAGCGCAAGGCTGCGCGTCAAAAGGAGCGCCACGCTGACACCCGCTGCTCGGCCTTACCTTGACACGTGCTGAGCTACGCCAGCAAAGCCAAGCCAGCGGACCAGCAGAGCAGGGAGGCAACCAGACGACCGAAGATGCCAGTTGTCGTGTTCAAAATACAACAGTTTTCAAGCTCCAGCCGCGCGCAGCAGAGACACGAAAAGCCACAGCAACAGAACTTCGACACGCGCAAGGGTTCGTCTCGCATGGTGCCGGAGGGCTTGCTGCCTGCCAAGCAAAACACAGACGCAAATCACAATGGCACGCATTGGGGTGCGCTGCCCCGCGCGCACCAACCCGAGCGCGCAACCTTCCAAAACACCTTGCCGGCAGCATAATGCCACGTCAACCCGTCTAGGCTACAGGTGCTTCCCAACTCACTCTTTGCCGGAGACAAGAGAAAGAGAAAGAGAAAGAAAGAAAGAAAGAAAGAAAGAAAGAAAGAAAGAAAGAAAGAAAGAAAGAAAGAAAGAAAGAGAGAAAAACGAAAGAGGGAAAGAGAGTAAGAGAGTAAGAGAGTAAGAGAGAAGGAGAGAACGAGAGAAAGAGAGAAAGAGAGAAAGAGAGAAAGAGAGAAAGAGAGAAAGAGAGAAAGAAAGAAAGAAAGAAAGAAAGAAAGAAAGAAAGAAAAAAGAAAGAAAGAAAGAAAGAAAGAAAGAAAAAAAGAGAGAGAGAGAGAGAAAGAAAGAAAGCAAGAAAACAAAGAAAGAAAGCAAGAAAAGAAAGAAAGAAAGAAAGAAAGAAAGAAAGAAAGAAAGAAAGAAAGAAAGAGAGAAAGAGATAGAAAGAAAGAGAGAAAGAGATAGAATAAAAGAGAGAAAGAGAGAGAAACAAAGAGAGAAAGAGAGAAAGAGAGAAGGAGAGAAAGAGAGAAAGAGAGAAGGAGAGAAAGAGAGAAAGAGAGAGGGAGAGAGGGAGAGAGGGAGAGGGGCAGGGAGAGGGAGAGAGAGAGAGAGAGAGAGAGAGAGGAGAGGAGAGGGAAAGGGAGGAGGAGGGCGAGGCAAAAAGAAAGAGAGAGAGAGAGAGAGAGAGATGTCAATGTACATGGTACTTCATAGCTCGCACGTGACTGCGGGCGTTGACATGAGCCCAGGCAGGAGAGGAGCTGCGCAGACTACAGGTTTGTTTGTGTGTGTTGACAACATAGTACACTAAGGTGGTAGGGAGATCTTGAGCATAGGGGCAGCTCCAGTGACCTTCGATCATGTCAGGAGAACCAGCATCAGCATCAGCACAGCAGGAGCCACGACTGCGGGAACAGGAACAACACAGGAGCAAGACGACGACGTTCAAACATGGATACACACTGCCACCGCGTTCTTCATTGGCGACTACTCCCAGTACGAAGAATGGCTGTTCAAAGTACAAGCCTGGGGCTTATCTCGGGCTCATTGATCGAGATTTCAACACGGTGTTACAACCAGCACAAGTAGCTACACGACCAATTTGGGGATGCAGACATCAGAGCACACATACACGACCCTATGAAGGAAACAGTTTACACTACATCCTCATCAGCATATGTCCAGAACCAGCTAGAGTGGTAAGACAAAACCGCTACTACGCCTTTTGCAGAACAGGTTCAGCCTACCAGTAGGAGCACGTAGCATTGGCTACCGTAGCCTCAGGCAGGCTCGGAGCCCGGCTCCGCGCCCGTTGCGACGGACGTGATTCGCGCACATGCGTAACGCGCACAGGCTACGCTTGGCCCGCGTCCATAGCCCCGTTCTCGCAGTGGCAAGCTTGTTCCTAGCTTTCCACGCTGTTGCACGCGCGTAGCATCTGTGCTTGGAGATCAGCTTCGGAGGTTGTACTCAACCCGCGGTTCAGCCTGTGTCTAGTTCATGGACCCCCAAGCGTGCGCAATCTTCTGAAAGCAGGCTGGAAGCTGAGATTGGTGGAGGCTGGACCTTGCAAGGAAACCGAGTCTGGCCACCTATCTTGAATTTCAATGCAAGAGGATTGCAGTCAGCGCATATGCTCTCCGCTCTTGCATTTCTTGCCCCTCTCTTCCATTTTCAAAAGGTGCCTCTCGCACATCTTGCAATTTGAACATCTCTCATCTCGCAAAGCCCGTTCCTCGGGAGGCCCGCGCGAACTGCTCGCGACTTCACGAGCAGAAGCCTCAAATCAACCACCCATCACATAAAGAAGCTGTCTGTCTGTCTTTTCTGCCTTCTGTCTCTGTCTCTGCCTCTGTGTCTGTGTCTGAGTTTGTTTGTCTCTGTCTGTCTGTCTGCGTCTGTTTGTCTGTCTGCGTCTGTCTGTCTGTCTGTGTCTGTGTCTGCCCTTCTGTCTGTCTGTCGGTTTGTCTGCTCTGTTTTTGTGCGTGAGGTTGTCTGTGTCTGTCTGTCTATGTCTGTCTGTCTCTGTTTGCACTTTCTTTTTGAAAGGCGGCTGGCCTGCGAGCTGTCGCCAACACCTATTTGGTGGACAAGAAGATACAGCACGTGAGCGTGCGTGTGTGTGTGTGTGTGCGTCTGTAACAACCTGCGAAATTGGCGTTTGGAAGCCCAACGCAAGCTTGCAACGGGGCAGGGGGCAGTTGGTTGCCAAACAATCTCGCTAAAAGCCTGTGCTCGGCTCCAAACACCAAAGATCACCAAATTTAGCAGACTGCTACAAAAACACACACACACACACACACACACACACACACACACACACACACACACACACACACATACACACACACACACGCACGCACGCACGCACGCACGCACGCACGCACGCACGCACGCACGCACGCACACACACACACAAACACACAAACACACAAACACACAAACACACAAACACACAAACACACAAACACACAAACACACAACCACACAAACACACAAACACACAAACACACAAACGCACAAACAAACACACACACAAACACACAAACACACAAACACACACACAAACACACAAACACACAAACACACAAACACACAAACACACAAGCAGACAAACACACAAACACACAAACAGACAAACACACAAACACACAAAAACACAAACAAACAAACAAAACAAACAAACAAACAAACAAACAAACAAACCCACACAAACAAACACACACACACACACAAGCTCACACACACAGACAAACACACAAACACAAAAACACACAAACACACGCAAACACACGCAAACACACACACAAGCACACACACAAACACACACAAACACACAAACACACACAAACACACAAACACACAAACACAGAAACACACACACAAACACACACACACAAACACACAAACACACAATCACACACAAACACACACAACACACACAAACACACAAACACACAACACACAAACACACAAACACACAAACACACAAACACACAAACACACAAACACACAAACACACAAACACACAAACACACAACACACACAAACACACAACACACACACACAACACACAACCACACAAACACACACAAACACACAAACACACAAACACACAAACACACAAACACACAACACACAACACACACACACAAACACACAAACACACAAACACACAAACACACAAACACACAAACACACAAACACACAAACACACAAACACACAAACACACAAAACACACACACAAACACACAAACACACAAACACACAAACACACAAACACACAAACACACACAACACACAAACACACAAACACACAAACACACAAACACACCAACACACCAACACACCACACACCAACACAAACACACCAACACACCAACACACAAACACACACAAACACACAACACACAACACAAACACACAACACACAACACAAACACACAACACACAACACACACAAACACACAAACACACAAACACACAAACACACAAACACACAAACACACAAACACACAAACACACAAACACACAAACACACAAACACACAAACACACAAACACACAAACACACAAACACACAAACACACACACAAACACACACACACACACACCAACACACAAACACACAAACACACAAACACACAAACACACAAACACACAAACACACAAACACACAAACCCAAACCCAAACACACACAAACACAAACACAAACACAAACACAACCGCAACCGCAACCACAACCACAAACACAACCACAACCACAACCACAACCACAAACACAAACACAAACACAAACACAAACACACACTTAAACACAAACACAAACACAAACACAAAAACAAACACACACACACACACACACACTTAAACTGCCAAGGGAGAAGCTAATCCTTCGAGTACAACTGGTGAGTCTCGAGTGTGGGCTTTTGAGTGGCGAGACCGATGGCTTCCCCTCTAAATGTCGAAGCCGCTACAAGATTCAACATGGAGCACAAACAGCAAGCGAAAACAAGGGGCCAAAAGGGCTTTGCACATTCGTCGCAGGTACGCCGGATGGATCAGATCCGGTATCCCATGACTGAGGTAGCTTCGTTGAGCGCGGTCCCTCAGTCACGCCGCACGCCCCTGCAAAGGTGAAACCGGCGGCGACAGGGTAAATCTGTCGCTCCGCGCACACACACACACGCCCCTCAACGAGGGGCGAGCAACTCTTTTTCCAAGGAAGAGGCAGGCGACACACACAATGATCCTAGTACTGACCCAAAGGTTTCGAGCGGCGCGGGGAAGGTGAATTTTCAAGTCCAACATTGAGGAGACGGGTCCGCGAGATCGCTGTGATGTGACAAAGACGCCGATGATCCACGAGTGATAAGTGTCTGCATCGTAGCAGGAAGACCAAATGAGAGCGGGCGACGTCACCAATCAGTGGTGGGGAGTAGCTGATGAGGTCAATCACGGAGTTGTCGACAGTGAGGTTGAAGAGCAAAGGATTCATTCCAAGAAAGACTCCGCTGATAGCCGTGACTCTGCCAGTCCTGGGTTGTCCAGGTGTCGCCGTTGTACCACTGGCGCCCCTAGTCATGTGGGTGCCCGTGAGGCTGTTTGTCCGTCAAGCGGGGCCGGGCCCCAGTCCCTGTAAGTGTGGCGAGGTAGCGTTGGTCATAGGACTGCGTCACAAGAATAGAAGATCTTGACCCAATCATGACCGCCCCGACGGCGATACTCTAACCACGCTGAAGGATCTTGGTTACCTCCGAGATCAAGTGTTTGATGTTCAACATCCATGAGTACGAAAGGTATGAGGTGAGAACAACTCCCAACTTCCAAGTTGAATCTGAACCACTCAGCGAGCAAGTACAAATCAAACACAGTGGACATGACGCACAGCCAACAAAAGCACAAACAATGCGTTCGGACTTTTGTTCGACAATCTCCCGCTAGTTGTTAGACCACGCCGTCATCAAAGGTGGACTGCCCGGTGGATCGAGCTTTGCTTGAGCGACTTCTTAGTTCATAGGGCGCTGATGCCGATGGCTGGAAAGTCGAGTGAGTCAATGAGCTAGTTGTTGCAAAGTGTCGATGATGAGCTTCTTGTTCATCGCGCGTGCGGCTCGCGATCCGCAACTGAACAATGTCCTGGATGCGCGTGAGGTCATCGAAGGAGAAGGTCGCCGCATAGGACGATTGCATCATAGCCGCAAAGAGATGCGTGGTGATCTCAAAGCGTGTGGAACGGTTCCCCACGCTGCGTAGTGGATCAAGGGGTGGTAGTTCCGCATGGGTGTGATGGTCTAAGGGCGGCTCAAGTTCAGGTTCAGGAGGTGCGATGAATGGTCGTCGTGAGTGGGGTTCCGCCAATGCCGAAATTTGCACGTCTTTGTGCTGGTTCGGGGTGCCCCAGTCACGGTCGAGTTAGATCATGTGGGGGGCGCACAAGAGGTGGTGGACGCGAACCGCGCGCTTGAGGAAGAAAATCAGGGTGTAACCAAGCTGGGGGAGGTGGAGGAGGAGGTGGTGGCAAGGTTGGCTCGAGGAGGTAGAGGCTGAAGGGCGTCTGCGTTGCGAGCGGGCCCGTGATACTGAAGCCATGAGGGATGTCGCCCATGAGTCCAAGTAATGAGAGTCTATTCATCTTGATCCATCATGACTGCAGATCTGTAGAAGGCAATAATCATGAGGCAAGAAAACGGCACAAAAGGAGAGCATTTTAAGTCACAAGTCTGCTTCATTCACTTCTTGGTCTTGTATGTCGGTCTGGAATCCTTGTCGTTCTTGCGCTTCACCGTCTCATCAAGGTCTTCCTGCATCTATGCGACGAAAGGTGTGGTGTGGGCCTTGCGTAGACTGAAGAGTGGGCCGTGAATGACAGTTGGCGATGGTCGGAACGAAGATGCCTCCAGCCAAGACTCTGGTGCAGGAGCAGGTGGCTCAGGACCTCTCACACGTGTGGTGTCTTCGTGGTATGGCGGAGGAAGAGCCACCGGTACATACCACGTATATGAGGTATCCACAGGTTGTGTTCGTGTGGAGGTGGAGATCTGGATCTAGACCTGTGCTCCGGTGTGATGTACTCCGTGACGATTCGGGGTCGCCGCCCGTGCCGCGAATCTCATCCGGGAAAAGCAAATTGGCAACGCAGGGGAGCACGTAGTGCTGCACATCTTTGGCGCGGACCGCGGCCTCCTGAATTTGGGTAATTTCTTCTCAAAGTGAAGACGTGGCTTCCCACTTAATGCGGTGCTGACGAACGCTTGAGGTGCATGAATTCAATAGGTTGATCACGGACATCGTGTGGATTCCTCGACGACGAAGACGGGTGCAGATGGTTGGAAGTAGGAGGTGCGCTAGGAGGGGTCGACGGGCGACGATTGTCGCGCGGTTGGCCTTTCCACTGACCCCAGCTGTCATCATCATCAGGTTCATCGAGCTGTTGAGAGGGCGCCGGCCGCAGATGAACTCGTAAACGTCTGGATTGGGGTGACCTAGGCCTGGAATCCATATTGGTTCTGGCGGTGCGGTCTTGCGCCAAACGCCGGTGTCCATGTCGAGGTTGACGTTGCTGGCGGTGCTCTACGGCGTGATCGTAAACATTCTCGTAGTGGTTGGCAGCATGAGCCTGGGCAAAAAGTTGCACGCCGATGCCGCTCAGAAAAGTGATCGAGTGACCTGTGTGGTGGTCTGGACAGTGCCATCTATGTGTAGGAAATTGTTGATCGTGTACACCGCAGGTCCCTGTACTGGTTGACGAGGAGATGCCAGGTCCAGTTGCAACGTGGGAGGCGAAGCCATGAGAACAACCGATTAAATGCAACACCAAGATCACACCTTGAGCACGCATGATCATGCAAGCAAGATCCATGCGATCAAACAGAGTGAAGAACAACTAAAGGCAATGCAAATTGTTGACACTTTGCGTCGAACATCTCGCAGTTTATGGGCTTCGAAACCTTTGGCTTCATAGAGTCTCTTGAGAGCCTGGAGACCAATGCGCTGCTGTACAGGTGGCTGGGCGCCACGTAAGATGAGCCACGATCGCAAGGGCCATGACGAGTAGGTGAAATTCTCGTCATTGGCACTACGAACGCCCTTAATCTGCGATGGATGTTCCGGTCTCAATCCCTGCATTTTCCAGCTGACCATTTCCTTCAAGAGCTCACGTGGTCTGCCCCACACTTTTTTTGACCTTGCTTCGCAGAACTTCTGCACTGGCGTGCGCTCAGCCGCGCTCACGTGGTCACTACGATTCATCCTCGTCTTCAGAAGCAATATTCCTGAAGTTTTTCGTCTTCATGATCCAGTACCTACCGCCCGCATCCTACCCAAGCCCGCGAAGGACTGGCTCAAAGACAGACCAATCATTTCTTTCTTTTGTACGTGAGTAGTACTGACTCACAGTTTTCGGAGCGCTCATGATGTTGGTGTTGATCAGGGTGTTGATTTCGTGGAAGCCCGAGATGAACACGCCATGGGAATGAGCAACCTTGCGTGAGCTGAGTGACATCGAAGGAGCAAGGAAAGAGTGTTTGGCCATCGCTTTTGCCATTTGCGATAATTGAAGATACGGCCCCCCAGGGTGGCACTGAGTGTTTCAGTGACGCGAAGTTTGGGAAGGAAAAGGGAAGGAAAAAGTTCAGACGTCGAGACGCACAGTGTTGAAGCCAAAACCCAAGTCGAGATTTCCATTGATGAGCAAGAACAGGAGGAAGAAGTAAATGTGTAAGCGTGGTCGGCAAAGTAAGATTCCGCTTGTACAGCGCTTGAGAAAGGAGCTTCTTGGCTTTGGATCGAAAAGGCTCATTGACAAACTCTAATACGAGGCGGAGGAAATAGTACAGTGGATGGGAAGGCAGCTGATAAGAGTTCGTGCGTGGTCTGAAACGAAGCACCAGTGTTGGATCCCAGTTTGTACAGAAGGGAATCATCCGCTTGAATATCATCGTAGTTGTCGATGCAGATTGGGATGTGATCGCCGGCGAAACAGCTTATGTGTCTGTGTGTCTGTGTGTCTGTGTATCTGTGTGTCTGTGTGTCCGTGTGTCCATGTGTCCGTGTGTCCGTGTGTCCGCGTGCCCGTGTGCCCGTGTGCCCGTGTGCCCGTGTGCCCGTGCGCCCGTGTGCCCGTGCGCCCGTGCGCCCGTGCGCCCGTGCGCCCGTGCGCCTGTGTGCCCGTGTGCTCGTGTGCCCGTGTGTCCGTGTGTCCGTGTGCCCGTGTGCCCGTGTGCCCGTGTGCGCGTGTGCCCGTGCGCCCGTGTGCGCGTGTGCCCGTGTCCCCGTGTGCCCGTGTGCCCGTGTCCCCGTGTCCCCGTGTCCCCGTGTGCCCGTGTGCCCGTGTGCCCGTGCGCCCGTGTGCCCGTGTGCCCGTGTGCCCAAGTGCCCGCGTGCCCGTGTGCCTGTGCGCCCGTGCGCCCGTGCGCCCGTGTGCCCGTGTGCCCGTGCGCCCGCCTGCCCCGCCCGCCCGCCCGCCCGCCCGCCCCCCGCCCGCCCGCCCGCCCGGGCGCGCGCGCGCGCGTGCGCACGCACATACTCTATCTTCTTGTTCCACCATGTAGCTGTTGGCGACGGCTTGAAAGCGTTGTCTGGAAACCAAGTGCCCCTGCGTTCACGCTTACGTTTCTTTCCCGCACAACAGGTAGAGCACAAAGCTCCGCAAAAATTGTGTCACATTGATGCGTGCCATTCACGGCAACCTTTAGTAAAAGGCGAAATATTGTTGCGCTATGAAGTGAACGTTGAGCGTGTCGCTGCAGAGCGTCTGTGACTCATGCCTTGGGTGCTGGCATTTGGCCATCGGGATTTCCTGCGATGATTCCTGAAGCCGTGTTTACGCAGCTCTCTCACACTGAATAGCCCCGCCTGTGATACACATCCCACACGTCAGCAAACGTGTCCAGGTAGGGCCTCGAGATTTGGGCCACTGTGTAGTGCAGCTGCATGCCGTAGTCCCCAAGGATTGAGCATTAGAAGAAAAGCCCCCCAAGCATTGAGCTTCCAGCTGCAACTCTGATGCCTCAGGAACGGGACCTATCAATGCATCAATGCCTCGGAAATCAGGGTGAGAAGAGGAAATAGATGCACTATCTCAAGGTGCTGGACGAGCCAGAACAGCTGGATCTATGCCCTTGGTCACTGGAGTATTGCTCGATGATCGCAGGTGATTTGCTTTGCAAAAACACTCGACCTCGCAAGTTTCATGAAAGGGCACCGGATCGAGGCTGAGGATAAAGCTTCTGTTTCTCTTTGATCATTCAGCTCTTCCACCTCTGGTCCAGAGTATGCTCCGTGTGACACACCAATTTCACGCAACAGCTGGAAAGTGAGGCTCACAGTCAGCCAAGAGCTTCTACCGCTGCATGCCCCTATGTTCGTTCTTCTCATGGCCAGATATTCAATCCGCATGTGTTGGCTCTTTGGTGCATGATGCTCAACAAAATGAATCCGCCAACACGCTGCCACCAAGTTGCGCTCTCCCACACAGTACCTACGAATTCGCCAAGACCATCCCACCTCAATTGGTACAGCTGCCTTCCGACACCTCCTCACTACAGAAGCCTGAGGTCTTTGCTGTCCTCGCAACAGCCTGCTCCCCCGAAATGGGTCATTGATAACAGAGGCCTGACGCAGCTCAGCTTGGATCTTGGATGTGCCGTGGATTCAAATGCCCCAGTGATCCAGCTTGACAAGCAAAGCTGGCCAGCGACTGCTGTGATCTTAGCTCATCATAGACACGTGCCTCGATGCAATTGCATGCAGAAACATTCTAGAAATTAGTATGCATCTGGCGAGCCCCGCTAAGATGCACGCCCATGTTTCCGACTGGTTTGCCTCATCTTGCCGATCACCTCGCAGAAAATGAGTGGAGCTGGCATGCATGAGGACAGCAAAGACACAACAAGACTCACCTGTGCTTGCATCTTTTTAAGGGCATCCCATCCTGAGACAATGACTGGGCATTCAAGTGCGTCGCACAAACGAGCATGTCTGCATGCCAAGCCCGAAGGTAGTGACTGCATCCAAGTATGTAATGTGTCTTGTCAGTGCTGCAGCCGCATTTGTTTGCCCCAGTGGTGGTTCCCTCTCCGGCACTGTTGCCTTGTCTCAAGGCCAGAGGCTTGACTGGCAACAGCTGACTTTTCAGCATGTCCGTGTACGCAACGAACTTAAAGCCTGAGAGGACAGCGTAGAAGAGGCATGACAAACACGAAACATGCCGACTCGCCCTTTGCTCTTTCGCATTCATCATATCTAGCTTGTCTCAAATTTCAGACACCCCCCGTCAAGGCACTTTGCTCCAGGCTGTCTGTAAACCTTATTTCTCCAGACCTGTTATTGTGTGTATGTGTGTGTGTGTTGAGTTGCTCTGGTGAAGCGAGCTTGATAATGTGGCCTCGTCGTGTAGCTTCATACAGGCGCATTCAAGGTCCTTGGGTCTGCATCATCGAGCTGGCGATGCATTGCCGTTGGAAAACAGGTTGGTCAAAACCGCTGAATCAGATTGGACCATCAAAGGAGTTTCGAAGCACAACAGCAAGTTGTTGGGGTACACGGGACCAGTTGGAATTGTGATTGCGCAACAAGCCGAACAATGGGGCCTATGGACATGAAATTGATTTCCTTCATGGTACCCCTTCGCAGAGCTTTCACCAGGTACTTTTGCGTAGCTCTAGCGTGAAAAATCGCAACTGTTTAGAACAAACGCAGCACAAGTGCACTGCCTGGATTCCTCAATTTTTCATTTGCAGAGCCTTCGTGGAAACCCCCCTACATGTTGGAAACTACACTGCTGAGAAAATGCATAATCTCGCACAGTGTGTTGCAAACACACAAATGGAGCTTTCACGCACCGAGCTTTCTGGAAAACGTTTGTGCAAGCCTTCGCAATGTAGTTTGTTTTGATAGATACGACGGTGGAGGTTTTGGGTGCTGCTCAGGTGCCCTTCTGGGTCAACACAGGGTATGTCTTGTCACATGTCCTTTCTCAGGGCAAACACTTTTTGACGTCATGCTTCAGTATTTTGACACTCTGCACAAACACACACTGCACACAAACACACGCACACACACACCCCCCCACCCCCCCACCCACCAACCAACCCACCACCCACCCACCGCACGCACGCACGCTCGCACGCAAGCACGCGCGCAAGCACGAACGCACGCGCGCGCGAGAGAGAGAGAGAGAGACAGAGAGACAGAGAGACAGAGACAGAGAGACAGAGAGACAGAGAGACAGAGATACAGAGATACAGAGCGACAGAGAGACAGAGAGACAGAGAGACAGAGAGACAGCACAGAGACATATCAAACTACATGCTTCACTTCTTGCACCTGTGTTGCATGCATGTACACTACTGCAGGCCTTGAGCTTACTACGACTGCATTAGTGAAAAGGTTGGCAGCTGCAGACTACATTGGTTTGTGTTTGTGAGAACACTACAGCCAATTTTAACGCGGTAGCGGACTGAGATCCTAAACATAGGGGAGCTCCAGTATTCAGCAGTAAATACTACAACCACTGCAACAGCAATCACATGCCAAACTACTACGACACAGGTCAGGGGAAGCAGCATCAGCCTCAGCACAACAAACTACAGGAGCAGAGAACGGGCCAACAGCAGAAACAGTAGGAGCCACAACTACGGGAGCAGGAACAGAACAAGACAACGACGTTCAGAGACTACATTGGTACAAACCGCCACCACCCTTCTTCACTGGTGACTACTCCCAGTATGAAGAATGGCCGTTCAAACTACAAGCATACCTCGGCCTCATAGACCGAGACTTCGACCTGGTGCTACAACTAGCAAAAGTAGCTACACGACAGATTGAGGACACAGACATCAGAACACACATTCTCGACATACACAAGCAAGCAAAGCAGTACTACATCCTCATCAACATCTGTCAGGGAGCAGCAGCGACAGTATTAAGGCAAAACCGCTACAACGCAAATGGATGTGAAACACTGTGACTCCTACACAACAGGTTCAGCCTACCAGTAGGAACAAGAAGCGTTGGCTACCTTACCAAACTACTGGAACCTACATTCAATGAAGCGCAGTTTGAAGAGCAATTCCTACATTGGGAATACGACAGTTCGTGATCTACATCGAGATCAAAGCATCTTGGGCTTCTACAAGACGATTTCAGCTTTCCCAAGATCGACTTCAGCAGTAGGCACAAACTACAATGGAGGAGCTGCACCAATGGATGTTGATAACATATGGAGGAAAGGAAGAAACTACAAAGGAAAAGGCAAAGGCCACTACAAAGGAACAACAGCAAAGGCAAGTACAGGAGCAAAGGACACTACAAGGGATTCGACAAAGGCAACAAAGGAAGCTACAACAAAGGAGGATACAACAAGAGCAAAGGAAAAGGCTACTCAGGATCCAAAGGATATGGATCAAGCAAGGGCTACAAAGGCCAAAGAAACTACGAAGCAACAACTACACGACATGCCACCAATGTGGCAAGCCTGGCCATTGGGCGCAGGACTGCAGAGTGCCGGTTTGGCACATAGGAGAAGAAGTACATCGGCTAGAGCCAGAACAAGCAGATCAGGACAACAATGAAGAACTACATCAGGATGTGAACGACACCTGGGGCTGGTACTACGAAGGAGAAGAAGGACAACACGAGGTAAACTACATGGAGGAGAACTGGAACGACCAACAACAAGCACACCTCATAAGACACTCAGGACTCTTCTACCTACGAGCAGAGAAGATCGACATTCCTACAGGATTCGACATCTACCCAATGACTACAGACAATGGGAATTAAATGGCTGCGACAACTGGACAGGAGAAACCAGGTTCAGAAGAAAGACAACACCCACACGCAGAACCTCCTGCATATAGGGACTCATGCGAATCCTTGCCGCAGAGCACAATGCGGCACTTCTTTTTCTCAGTTGGCGCCTTGAATCTTGTCCGGCGTAACGTCCACCTTGTGGTTGGGGTCCATCATCAAACCCTTAGCATCCTCGTTGGTGACCCGTCTAACGCCTCTTCGCCCTCCAACAACGACCCCACCTCTGCCTTAATCGCCAGCAGCCACTCCTCCTTCGTTTCTCAGGACCTCCGCAACCTGCTTCTCTGAGCCCATGATCTCCTGAATCAGGACCTCCTCCATGCCCTTCATCTTCTTCTCGGCGGCGGTGATTTATCAAGGCGCATCACCCCATCGCCTCCTTCTCATCTTCCTCTTCCAAGGCCGCGCAGCCTCAAGAAGGCACCCAACTCGCTTTCTCTCCCCTCGCCGGTATTTGTCTTTCCTCTGATCCTCCTCCGCAGCTAGCGCGGCTTTCCCCCCGCCAATGGTAGACGATCTTCAGCTTCCACCACCCCTCTAACGACCTCTATCTCCCCATCCTCCCAAAGGACACCATGCCTCCTCGTGACCCGCAGTCGGTTCCATGACCTCTTCGGAACCCAAACCTCCTCCCCAAACCGGCATCATCTCATGCTGCTGTCTCTTCTCCTCCGCAACGATCGCGTAGCAAGCCGCCAATGGCCAGAACTTCACGTCCATGTCGGCGCCCTTCAGCAACCGCCGGCTCTTAAGGCTATTGATGCACGCCTCCGCACAACCATTTTCCTGCGGCAAGTCTGCACTAGCGGTCGTCTTCTCGGAGATCTTCACCCTCACCGTCTCCTTTCTTGCACTCCAAATCCACCTTTTCGCAATCCAGATCACCTCAGATCCTCCTTCTCATCAACTTTCTCCTCAATAACCGCCTCCTCCTCGTCTCCCTTCTTCCCACCAAAGAACTGCTTCTGGTCCTCCTCCGCTGGCCAGGTGAAAGTACTTCATGGCGGCGTCGTTGATGTCCTTCCGTACCTTGTAGGGGCCGAAGCTTCTTGACACACCCGGAGTCTTGACAAAGGCGCCGCTGCCCACTCCGCCATCCTCCACCATGACCCGCGCTCAGGCACGTAGTCCGGCGTCTCCGGCTGCTCCAGCAAAAAGGCCACCCTCGTCCTTGTCAACGCCTCCTCGCAGTCTCTGCCACGCAGTAGATCATGGTCATGCGGTAGAGGAGCACGTCGTCCTCCCAAACATGCTTCTTCCCTTTTTTCATCAAGCCACGGAAATCCGAACTGACTGGGCGGGGCTTACCGGTAGGCAGCGAGTATTGTCTAAGCCCTTCTCGTCCTGCAATTAGGGCCGCCGACCACTCCCATGACCATCTGTTCAGATCCACCTCCACCAGTCGAGTGGCGTCACCGCCCGCTTCCTTCAGCGCTCTCTTCTCGCCCACGTACAGGTGGAGTACGGACCCTTTCTCCAGCATCCTCCTCCTGCTTCACGCCTTTCAGGTTGTCCGCCGGGGTCTCAATCACCCCATCCATGACCTCGTCCGGGACGCCCCAAAAGAGCGTCTCGTTCTCCGCCAAACCACTCAGCGCCATCGCCTCGTGCTTTATCGACCGTACTCTGGCTCCAAATCTCCGTCTGCTCAAGCATGTCGATAAAACACAGCACCAACTCCCTATCCATGCACCTCCGGGCATCCAGCACCGGAATGTCACCCAGTGCGGGGCAAGAGCCCATAGACCTGCGGGTTCTTGTGAATGATGACCTGCCCTTCGCCATCTTCTGGCCTGTGGCCAACTCCACCTGAATACTCTCCAGGTCGCCCGCATCCTCCCCTTCTCGCAAGCCTCTCATTGCGTGGGTGGCTCCCGAATCCAGCAACCCCTTTCGTTCTGGAAGTTGATCTTCGAGATCGGGAACGGACACATTGTTCCCCCTGTCGTTCTCTTTGGCATTTCCTCCTCCGTCTCGACCTGCTTCCCATCCTTCTTGTAGTCCTTGACAACCTTCCTTGGGCAGTCCTTGGCATAGTGATCGCTACATCTTGCGCTTCATAGCTGAATGAGCATTCTCTCCCGCGGCGACACCCCGAATGCGTCAGGAAGAAGTGGAAGGGCTTCTTTTCCTTTTTG